GATGAGTAACAGCCAAGAGATGATCCCATTATCAAATTCTCATTTGAAGTTTTATTGATTCTTATTCTTTTTGATTCCGTTCACTCGTAATGGATACTAGTAAGCCTTCCCAGATTTCAGAGCGCTTATAATTCCATTAAAACACTAAATTAAACATCTCTGGTAGTTCTTACATTTTCAAAGAGCTTTTCATTATACTTACAAATACAACCTCCCAGTTTTAAGTCCTATGCTTTAGCACTAAACTAGAGAATATAAAAACTGGGAAAAGAATACCTGTTGCCATATATTTTTATTATTGACTAGTAGAGCAATTCAATATTAATACATGATTTGATTACTTTTCAGGGAAATGTAGTTGTTGCTTCCAACTACAGCATCCAGCAAAGGAAGAAAAACAGTAATTTCACAAAAGTGGGTGTGAAAGTATGCAAGTGAGAAAAAATATTAACGTTTTCTTCCCCATGAGTATATGAGGAGAAAGCTGGACTGCGGAGGGTGAGAGGACAAGGTAGTTTACCCTCGGGCAGCTGGGGTCCCAGAGGAGTCCTGGTTTGTAAACAGCCAGGGCACGAATGCTGGGAGCAGCTCCCCAGCCTCTGCAGGCCACGAGGAGGGAAAAGTGAGGGAAGTAGCCATTTTGTGCCATCCACACCCGGGGCTATTTTACGGCGCTCTGCTCTGCTGGGCTCATGAGAAAACAGAGGCCTCCCAGACAGGTCCAAGGAAGCACTTGTTAGCTGCGACTTGCCAAGTTTCTCCCTCTGTTGGGCTCATTAAGAGCCCATATCCAAAGCTTGAAGGCTAAAGCCTTGTTAATGGCTTCAGGATGGCACTGTTCTCCACAGGGGAGGCCTTCAGAAGATCAATTGTCCCTATTCCCATTCCATTAGCATTCAAGTATGAACTGATTCCCACTTTAGTGGAACAAATAGAGAAAGAGTGCATTTAGCCCAACACAGAAAACTTGCTTACTTTGAGATTTCACATTAATATAAGAAGAAAACAAGGAGCCCTATCTGATTTGGCTCAGTGGACAGAGCGTCGGCCTGCAGACTAAAGGGTCCCAGGTTCAATTCCAGCCAAGGGCACATGCCTGGGTTGCGGGCTCAATCCCCCCCAGTAGGGGGCGTGCAGGAGGCAGCCACTCAATGATTCTCATCATTGATGTTTAATATTAAAAAAAGAAGAGAACAAGGAATTAAGAGTATTTTGTGATTCAAACACAATGGCTTACCCTACTCTAACTGCCTCGATAGTAAAAGAGGAAACATCTGGCTTTGCTTTCGATACTGGAAACCTTGTCTCCTAAGATTTGCAGAGCAAAGCCAGGAACTTAAGGTCCAGGCAAATCCTGGTTTAAAGGAGACGTGCTTGCCCTCCAGCACCTCCCTCCTCCCGCCTCCCGCCTCCAGGCAGATAGGGCTGCAAATGTGTCAAGTGTGGAAAAGGTTAGGAGTCTACAGCAGAGTGAGACTTTCTGGACCTTTAAGCAGCACTAGCTGGGTTTACACCCGACTGAGTCACACCCCGGTGAAGAATTTTGTGACTAAGAGACTTCCTATGAACGTCAGTGGCCACTCTGACATCACAAAAACAAAAAGAAACACAACAAACAAAGAAACAGTTGGTAGTGTGAGGACAATCTTCATAGCGCAAGGACTGGTCACATGGCAGCCTTTATCTCCCCAGGGGGCGCTGGGAACCAGAACTGAAAGGCAAACTGCAGAAAGCTTTCCCGACAAACACAAGTCAGGGATAAAGGGTTCAATATGCAAAGTCTTTTATTTAACATTTTAAAACGTTAAAACTTCCGACCACCTCCGTATGCGCCATTCCCATTAGAAGGAGGAACGGTGGCTTCAAACTCAGGCAGAGCTGCGTGTTCCTTACAGACTCTGTAGGCACTTTAGAAGTGAAGCTTGGCTTCAAAATACAAACACTGGGGGCTTTGGCTCAACCTTTTAATATAAAAAATCCACTGATGTACAAAAATGCGAAAGTGGGACAATGACAACATATGAAATCCTGTGATTGAGAGTCCCCTGGAGAGCGCCCAGTGGGGCACGCACACCTGCCCATACAGACTCTGGGTGGGAACATAAACGAATGCAAACCAGTGCTACCAGGAGGGGCCAGCATGTGTACGCGCCACTCCGCCAGCCACAGACCAACATCTACTGCAAACATCAGTAACACAAAGTACGGCACCTCCCAGGAACAGCAAGGCAGCTTCTTACTCACGATGAACCAGCACGAATAGGCCCAGCAGAAAGAGTACTGCATACTGGAAGAGAAACAGCCAGTCAGGGGAGCGTACGGGCTCTCGAGTCCTCAGACCTAACAAATAAACTGGCCTTTGTGACCAGAATACAACATTCAACTACCCAATTAGTCTTCTCTTTTAAGGGTCCATTTAATTAGTTCCCAAAATTGAGCAAAAGATCACATTTTTAATGAAACATAAAGTACATGATCTTTTTTTTAAGTCCTTATTGCTGAAAGTATTACAGACCTCTCTCCCCCGGTGACCTCTCCCAGCCCGCCCCTGGTCCCCACCCCAGGCCTTCACCCCCCAATTGTCTGTGTCCACGGGTTATGCATATATGCACACAAGTTCATTGGTTGATCTCTTCCCACCTGCCCTCCCTCCCCTGCCTTCCCTTTGAGGTTTGACGGTCTGTTCGATGCTTCTGTCTCTAATGAACAACAACAACAAAAAAACCCAAAAACAAAAATAGATCCAAAGACATAAAGTACAGGGTCTTACCTTAAACTTAGGATAGTCATTCATGAGGATTGTCACAATCCCAATATAAGGAACAAATCTAAACAAAGAAACAAAGAAAAAATTGATTGTCAAGAACTTCCTATGTAGTTATTATTTACTGAGCATTCTCAGTATCTTCCACAGAAAATTAATTTTCAGTTCACAGAGTCCATTTGTATATACCGTCGTCCTATAGATCCTTTCAACAGCCCAGTGATAGGGAAGTTAGGAACATGGCCATTCTATAGATGAGGAAACAGGTGGTCAGGCCCACGGCACGTGGCTCCTGCGCAGAACCAGTACCGGATCCGAGTCTTAGGCATCTATTTGGTGACTCTAATTCTACCTGCTGACTCAGTGCTGGGGGCTGGGTTGTCCTCATAACCTTTAGGGACTGTCAAAGTAGTTGGGGAGACAAGGTAAACACAGCCAGAACCTTACAAGGTACTTCATGCTAAGTGTCCGGAAAGTGAGTGTAAGAGCCCTCGTCCAGTACTTACGATTTCCTCACCTCTCCTTTATTAACCACCTGTAATCTGGCTTTGCCTCTCTTAATCCTGGAACTTTCTAGAACAGCTAAAATCACTGTATGCAGCAGACCAGTCTCAGCTCCAACTTTCCTTTATTCTGCAGCATTTGACTTTGATGACCACAAACTGATGTTTCTTTTCTTTTTTGTAAAATATATTTTATTGATTTTAGAGAGGAAGGGAGAGGGAGAGAGAGAAACATCAATGATGAGAGAGAATCATTGATTGGCTGCCTCCTGCACGCCCCCTACTGGGGATCAAGCCTGTAACCCAGGCATGTACCCTGGGCTGGAATCAAACCTGGGACCCTTCAGTCCACAGGCCAACGCTCTATCCATTGAGCCAAACTAGCTAGGGCAAGTTGATGTTCCTTAAAACCTAGACTTCCTCTTTCGGAATCACTGGAATAGCTTGTTAAAAATGCAGATCATGCCCAGTCGGTGTGGCTCAGTGGTTGAGCGTCGACCTATGAACCAGGAGGGTCATGGTTCGATTCCGGGTCAAGGCATATGCCCGGGTTGCAGGCTTGATCCCAGTAGGGGGTGTGCAGGAGGCAGCCAATCATTGACGTTTCTATCTCTCTCACTTCCTCTCTCTGAAATCAATGAAAACATTAAACAATGCAGATCATTGTATCTTTTCCAGATTTACTGAGTCGGAGCACCTCTGGAAGGTGGGCCCTAATGATGCCTCTGCACACCGAAGTACAAGAAGCATGCTCTAGCACATGACATGCATGGAACAGACATGTGGTGGCAAATATTATCCCCTTGGAGGGCCCACACTTTAGTTTCCACCCCTGGGACAACCTCTAAGAGCAGAAAATAACAGTCAGTACAGAATGGCACAGCTAAGCTAGGAGGGCAGAGAGAGGGTATCTGTATCTTATTTTTTAATATATTTTTTATTGATTTCAGAGAGATAGGAAGAGGGAAAGAGATAGAAACATCCATGATGAGAGAGAATCATGGACCGGCTGCCTCCTCCAAGTCTCCCACTGGGGATCGAGCCCACAACCCGGGCATGTGCCCCTGACCGGAATTGAACCTGGGACCTTTCAGTTCGCAGGCCGACCCTCTATCCACTGAGCCAAACCGGCTAGGGCGGTTCTCTGTATTTTTTAATGCACATTATTTTCTTTTTAATGTAACAACTCTTTAATGTAATCTCTTGTGTCTCATTTACAACACCTTCATGAAAGCAACAGCTCTCCGTAAAGGTAAATCACCTAATTTAAGAATGTAAAGGCAAATGCCTGATGGTAAAATGCAGATTAAAAGCAATGAAAGCATCTGCGATTTCTATGAAGACAGTATCAGGCTGCTAATTCTAATCTGAAGATCAGTCAGCAACCATTCTCATGGGTAGATATTTCCGCTGTTACCTCCTTACAATAATACTGATGCTCAAACCACCACAACCTGTGGCTTCCAGTAATCACATAGTCTTGCCTGGGAGTTTTCCATGGACACATTCTTTCCCCTAAGGTTGGTTTCTCTTTGCTACCCTGAGTGAAATGGAAGCACCTTGATCTTTGGGAGTCATATAACCAAACATAAGATAGCCTATGACAGGCAGTCCGAAGTCAAACAAAGGACTTAATGATCCCTATCACTGTTTCCCTCCCTGGACAGAGACAGCAAAGAGTGCACAATGCTATCAGCAGTCACCTTCAATTCAAATCAGATGCGCTTTTTTCCTCCCTGCACAGATAAAGTCTGCTAAAGCAGAGTTGGTAAAAAGCAGGAGAAGGTTTAACATAACTAAACCAGATGCTACCCACGAGGCCACCTCCAACACCAGCCTGTGCCGAGTCACCATCTATAAGGCAGAGTGTAAAGATATGGAAGTCCCGGGTGCTGATCCCAGGAAGTAGCCTCAGAAGGAAGAAGTAGCTGCTGAGGTTGTGGCAGAAGATACTTTTGTCAGATGTTACAAGGGATCTATATCTGGGAAGTCTGGACCACCATAGCTGACTTAAAAGGATTCACTGTTGCTACCCCAAAATGATCTGTTTCAAGTTAAGTATAGAGTATATTTCAAAAGCCTCATCCATGAAACTGAGTTCAGCCAATAGAGAGCTCAATTACTCTGTTCCTTCCTTATATTTTTATTCCTCTTTTCTTTTATATTTTTATTGATTTCAGAGAGGGAGGGAGAGGGAAAGAAATAGAAACATCAATGATGAGAAAGAATTGATCAGCTTCCTGCACGCCCCCTACTGGGGATTGAGACCACAACCTGAGCATATGCCCTTGACCAGAATCGAACCCAGGACCTTTCAGTCCGCAGGCTGACGCTCTATCTACTGAACCAAATCTGCTACGGCTATTCCTCTTTTCAATGTCAAGATCTCTCTATTCCCTGACCCACCAGCCTTCTCTCTTTCTCCTGTTGTTGTCAACTCTTCTTTGAGTAACAGGTCCTCTTGTGGTTTTCAACTCCCTCCCTGAATTTAGGAAGAATCACCCCTATTAAATACCTAGTTGGTTCAGTATTAATTTAATTTTCTTTTTTGTTAATCCTCACCCAACAATATTTTTCCCACTGATTTTTAGACAGAGTGGAAGGAAGGGAGAGAGACAAAGAGAGAGAAAAGAGAAAGATCAATGTGAAAGACACATTGATTGATTGTCTCCTGCACAGGGATCCAGCCTGCAACCGAGGCACATGCCCTTGATTGGAATTGAACCCAGGACCCTTCAGTTGGCAGGCCGACACTCTAACCACTGGGCCAAACTGGCTAAGGCTGGTTTCATTTTCTAAAATTGTTTTTACTACATGTTACAACATGAATGAACCTTGAAAACACTATGCTACGTGAAAGAAGCCAGATGTAAAAGACTGCCTAGTGTAAGATTAAGACTCTGTTTATATAAAATGTCCAGAACAGGCAAACCATAGAGACAGAAAGATTAGTGGTTGCCAGGGGCTGCAGGGAAAAGGGGATGGGGAGTGACTGCAAATGAGTACAGAGTTTTCCTTCTGGAAACGTTCTGGAATTAGACAGTGGTGATGGCTGTGCACACCTTGTGAATATAATGAAACCCAATGAATTGTACACTTTAAAATGATGAATTTTATACCTCAATATATGGATTATATCTCAACAACGTTTTTTAAACTTGTTTTATTTGGGCCTTGGGCTTGAAAGAGTAAAATTTTTTGTGTGCAGGCAGCTGTTTGAAAAAGGTATTGTTTTTAATGCATGAAGACATTTGTACCACAGTTACAGAATGATCTGCGAGAAAGCTCTAGCCTCAAGGTCTGGTACAGTGTGACTCTGAAATATCAGTTTAGGGTTTTATAAACACAATTTCCACAGAAGGAGGTGACATGCCCCCGTAAGTGTCAAGGTAAGTGGTGGCATAATCAGTGGAAAGTGAATTTGTGCAGTTAAGATCCTGTGCCCTGCTGTTCATGCCCAGCTGTTCATGCCTCCGGAAAGTTACTTACTTCAGAGAGTACCGGGCTATTTCATTTTTTTTTTTAAATTAAAGCCACAGAGAGGTCTGTATCTTCAATGTTGGAATTTTTGCAATAACACAGTGTATAGTTCAGACAGGGTGATGCATCTTTTATGCAAACAGGGGCCCAAGTGAGCAAACAGAGCTGCATTAAGCACCTAATGATGAAGACCCAGATGAAGGAACACTGTCATACTCGTAGGAGTACAAATAAGACGCTGTGGCAAAATTTATCAAAAGCCTTACGCGTCACCTCTGAGAACTGACTGAAGAAATGACCGGGCAGAAGCACTGAAATATATGTAACAAGAATGCTCATCCTGCCCTGACAGGTTTGGCTCAGTGGATAGAGCGTCGGCCTGCGGACTGAAGGGTCCCAGGTTCAATTCCAGTCAAGGGCATATAGTACCTTGGTTGTGGGCACATCCCCAGTAGGGGGCGTGCAGGAGGCAGCTGATCGATGTTTCTCTCTCATCGATGTTTCTAACTCTCTATCCCTCTCCCTTCCACTCTGTAAAAAATCAATAAAATAAAAAAATAAAAAAGAATGCTCATCCTAACATCGTTCATAATTTTTAAAAATGGGAAAAAAAATCAAAGCGTCTAACAGCAGGAGACTGTCTAACTAAAAATGTGGTCTATCCACAGAGGAAAACCATACAGCTTTGAAAATGATGATATGGGAATAAATTTTTATTTGTAAAGATACTGATAATTCTGGGGGATGAAAAAAGGTTATAAACTGTGGCCATTCTTTGCCTGTACACAAACTGTTTTCAGTATGCGTGCACGCGTGTGAGTGTGTGTGCGCGCGCACACACACACTCAGATCTACCTCTTTATACATAAAGGCTAAAAAATATATATCAAAAAGTTAAATATTTATGGAGGGGGAGCAGAAGAAAAGTGACTTTGCTTTTTGATGACTATTTTTTCCTTATGTTTCTACATGAATCTGAAAACAAAAAGACTCAAAGAGGTTGATGAGTCTGAATAACCATAATAGCAGCGTCTTGGGAACAGAGAGACGGGGACAATGATTGCTCAGGAACACGGATGATCCTATGTGGATGGTAAAGGTACGTCTGGCTCTCCATGGGAATGAAGCTCCCGGGAACTGGCGGCATGCGCAGAAAGCCCCCAGCACTGCAGGTGCTTATTCTGATGAGATCTCTCTTCCCCAAACTGAGCAACCTCACGCTGCAACTGTGGCAGCTCTCACTTAATAACTCGCACTTAATTCTCTCTGGGACCCGAGCTCCTCAGCGTGGTGGCCCGTTCAACAGAGCAGCGATTTTCAAGTGGTGTGCTGCAAGAATTTTAAAAACATGCAATACCTGATTATTTAGTCAGAGGCATTGATCTCTTTGCCCTTAGACTGTCAAATAAAAAAATGACAACAGGCAACAATTCATCCCTTGTGAATGAGTCAAAATTATACCTATTTTTTGTCAGATTGGCAAGAAATATGATGTATTTTTGGGTGTGCCGCAGAATTCTATCGATTCGTTTGTGTGTGCCGTGAGGTGGAAAGGTTGAAAATCGCTGCGCTAGAGGAACCACTCTGAGTTCACACTGTCCGGCCCAGGTGAGAGGAGCAGGTGCTCTCACAGGTCAGAGTGTCACGTGGCCTCTGAACACTTCGAGCCAGCAGCTACCCGTCTCAGAGCTGTGATGCCTGTGATTCGGGTGCGATGGTTGAGAAAGTGGGCTCCGAGGTCATCGGCCACTTACCACCAGGTGACCTCAGACAAGCAACCAACTCGCCTGTTTCCTCATCTACAGAATGGAAATGTTAGGGTCGTTCTGAGGTTAAAAAAAGGTAATACTTGCAAAGCACTTAGAATGAATCGCTGGCATATAGTAAGCCCTAAGAAATGTCAGTTATTGTTAATATTATTAAAAACATGAAGGTAGTTACAATCCCATACTTCCTCATACCAATCACTTACAATTCCTGTCCTCCACTGATTTGTTCTCCTGTTAAAATCTGAAATAAACAGGCTTAATATAACTTGTAAATTTCATTTGACCTCAATAATTTCAAGACCAGAAATAAAACAGTATGGTGTAAATTAATATGAACAAGTTAATTTAGATGAACGCTTTAAGATGCTGATTCAGTAAATACTTAAAAAATGTAAGTTTCATGAAGCGGGATTAAAACTGCTGGGGATCCCCAGAGCCCAGCAGAGTACAAACATCAGAGTCCATGGGTGGTGCCCAATAACATTTCTTGACTGGATTAAACAAATGAATTTTTAACACCGACACTCCAATTCGTCATCTCATCACTAATATTCTATTCTTTTACTGTTTCCCTTTCCGCCCTTCCGGTGCAGTATACCAGAAGCTTTATTTTTTAAAAATATATTTCTTTATTGATTTCAGAGAGGAAGGAAGAGGGAGAGAGAGATAGAAACATCAATGATGAGAGAATCATGGATCGGCTGCCTCCTGCACGCCCCCTACTGGGGATCGAGCCTGCAACCCAGGCATGTGCCCTTGGCCAGAATCGAACCTGAGACCCTTCAGTCCGCAGGCCGACGCTCTATCCACTGAGCAAAACTGGCCAGGGCTACCCAAAGCTTTAGAGCATTTAATTAGCCCACCTTTTCAGAGGATACAAGGTGATTTGACAGAACCAGGACCCAACCATTATGTCAATTGTGTAGGATCAGTGATATGATTGAGGGGGCCAGGTTTCAAGAGACGTGAAAAGTGCTCCCTCTATACTTACCCCCTCGCTCTCCCCACAACATCTTTTTTCTCTAGCCAATGTTGTCCTTGTTTATAGAGGCCTCGGTCATCAACCGCATTATTGTCTCCTTTGGTCAAAAACTTGATATGTCCATTTTGCCTTAAAAGAATAAGAGAAAACCAAGTCATCAAATACCTCGATGTCATTTCAAAGCATAAAATTTGCTCTTGTTAACCAAAAATTCCTGTGGAACTGTGGTATTTTAATCACCATTCCCAAGATCAAAAAGAATTATTTATTTAGCTAAAAGGATGTTTATAGCCACGTAGTTTATAATAGGGTAAAACTGGAAACAAGCTAAAAGTTTAACATTCAGGAGTTGAAATACTAAACAAGCATTAAGGACAATGTTACAGAAGACTATTTAATGCATTGACGATCATACAAACTGTATTAAGTGAAGAAAAGATTATAAAATAGTATATGCACAATAATCTCATTTTTATATTAAAACAAAGACAAACCACTAATATTTTTGAAATACACAGAGCAAAGGAACACATTAAACTACCCTACAGGCAAAATGAAGGTTATGTAAAACAGAATGACCCAGTTTCTTTAACCAATAAATTGCAAAGAACAAAATGTTGGAAAAGGAATTTACATATTAAATAAAAGACACTATAAAGCCATATCGACCAATTTCAACGGAGGACCTTTATCTGAATCTGGATTCAAACTGTTAAAAAAGCTCACTGATTATATTTCACAAACATTTACTAAAATATTTACCTATGACATGACGTGATATCTATGATTTGATTCAAAATGCAGGACAGGGGAAAAAGTGTTAGTGTGGGTGGGGCAGAATTAGCCATAAATTAATAATTATTGGGTCCTAGCTAGTTTGGCTCAGTGGATAGAGTCCTGGGTTCGATTCCAGTCAAGGGCACATGCCCAGGTTGCTCCATCCTCACTAGGGGGCATGCAGGAGGCAGCCGATCAATGATTCTCATCATTGATGTTTCTCTCTCTCCCTCTTCCTCTCTGAAATCAATAAAACTGTATTTTAAAAAAATAATTATTGGGACTGGGTAACAGGCTTTTGGGAGTTCACTGTACTGTTTCGTCTACTTTTATGCACGTTAGAAATTCTCCATATTAAAAAAAAAAGAGCAAAAATAACAGTATCTTACTTAATCAGAAACTTACTAGTTTAATTCTTCTAAAGAACCATGCGGGCCTGGCTGGTGTGGCTCAACTGTTGAGCATTGACCTATGAACCATGAGTCATAGTTCGATCCCCAGCAGATGGCCTGCAGGAGGCAGCCAATCAATGATTCTCTCATCATTTATGTTTCTCTCTCTCTCTCCCTCTCCGAAATCAATAAAAATATATTAAAATAAAATAAACCATGAGGTTTCTAGTAACTTTACATTTTAACTGAAAGCAAAGTACATTTTATAGTTGATAAAAACCATCTTAAAATTAGTTCAAGTGAGTCTGGGTTAGCCACCATACTAGAAAGAAGAAAATTAGCTCCAGACTCCTACTGACTAGTATTCACTGAGATGCTAAGCCAAAAACTGGCTCACTAGACACTAAATCTGCAGATGAAACTAAATTGGGAGGCGTTGCAAACACCAAAAACAGCGAGGTGCAAACAGTCACATTAAAAATGAGGTTCCAATAAGAAAAAATGCAAATGTATGCAGAGAAAAATAACGTGCAGCTGACAACTCCGTAAAGGAAAGAACGTCTGAAAAATGCTGGCGGGTAAGAGGACCGGTGCCAAGAGGGGCGAGCTGCAAGCGTGGACGCCAGGAGCCGTAGGAAGCGAGTCAGTTCAACCATGAAGATAGCAACAACACCGGGGCAGAAAAGTAAAACCAAATAGGAGAGGATGATTGGGACACGGGAGACTTCCCAGGAAGGGAAAGGGATGCTATGGGAGATGTGGGTTATTTCCAAATAGTTGATTTACCAAGCAACCCACCAAGCAGACCCAATCTCCTCCGCCTCTGCCCGCTGCCCCGACACAGTCGGGTGAGACCACTATAGCTGCTCGCAAAAGGAAGGTCTCCTTCATCTACTTAACGGTGTAACGAATGTTCTCTGGTGGCAACCAGCTCCTATTAGACAGACTCCAGTACCTCACAACTCACAGGCCCAAAATACTGGCCGACGATACATTAATATCAAACTTTCCCCTTGCTAGTACAGGGACCAAATATTTAACATTATCCACCTCTAAGGAGTGCAACACACTTACAATTTAATTTAACCATCATAATACTGCGATGGTAGGAAGGAGGAAATAATCACTTCATAGAAAGTTAAAGATAAACTATGCAATGTGGCCCTAGCTGGTTTGGCTCAGTGGACAGAGCGTTGGCCTGTGGACTGAGGGGTCTCAGGTTCGATTCCGGTCAAGGGCACATGCCCAAGCTGTAGGCTCAATCCCCAGTGCAGGGCGTGCAGGAGGCAGCTGATCTCTCATCACTGATGTTTCTGTCTCTCCCTTTCCCTTCCTCTCTGAAATCAATAAAAATATATTAAAAAACAAAACAAAAAACTATGCAGTGTGCTTATAAAACAAAAAGAGGTTTACTCCGAATTTAACATTATCTCTGGGTGCTAGGATTACATGTGATTTTGTTTTCTGTATTTTTTCAATTTACACAGCATCATGTATAACAATACACATGTAATAAGAATGTTCATAAGATGGAGATACATGGCCGAAACTGGTTTGGCTCAGTGGATAGAGCGTCAGCCTGCGGACTGAAAGGTCCCAGGTTCGATTCCGGTCAAGGGCATGTACCTGGGTTGCGGGCACATCCCCAGTAGGAGATGTGCAGGAGGCAGCTGATCGATGTTTCTCACTCATCGATGTTTCTAACTCTCTATCTCTCTCCCTTCCTCTCTGTAAAAAATCAATAAAATATATTAAAAAAAAAAAAAGATGGAGATACATGAAAAAAGAGCTTTATATGCTATTCAGATTTGCAAAGGCACCTTACAGAAGAAGCAGGTGGGGGAGGAAGGGAGGAATAAATAGAAGAGAGAGGTCAGTTGAACAATTCCTACCTCTAGTCTTCTTAAAGCTCAGGATGTTATTGCTTCTGAAAGAAATGAACAACAGTGCAAAAACCAGCCTGAAAACACCCAGGACAGACTGACTACACAAGACTTAATCCATTGTGTTTGTCATTGGGTCCTATATTTAAGAACAATGCCGCTACCATTAAATCAGATGATTATTACAACCAGGTATTTTAGTCTCTGTGAAACAAAGGAGGAAATGGGAAACTTTAGAATATTAATAGCATCTGCTTTTTAAACAGTCATGCAAGTTGAAGGCATCTCAAGAGTCTGAAAGAAATCACCAAACCGCACAGATTACACAGTATGACACATCGTAAAATATTCAAAAATATGATAAAAATTACTTTTAAGGCCGGCAAGTGTGGCTCAGTGGTTCAGTGTCAACCTATGAACTAGAGGTCACAGTTGGATTCCCAGTCAGGACACATGCCTGGATTGTGGGCTCCATCCCCAGTGGGGGGCGTGCAGGAAGCAGCTGATCCATGATTCTCTCTCATCATTGATGTTTCTCTCTCCCTCTCCCTTCCATTCTGAAATCAATAAAAAATAGTGGTTTTTTTTAATTACTTTTAAAATTTAAGGAATCTGTAGTTGATATAACATCTGTCAATGAACTTGCCCTGAAACAAGATGAACTGTTTTAAAATTTAAAAACTCACTGGAAAAAGGAGACATATGTAATATTATATGTAATACTTTAAACAACAAAGAATGAAAAACAAAAACAAACAAAAAAGTCACTGGATTTCAAAGGATCACATATAAAAATGGACAGTATTTGCTCTACCCAAAGCAGGGCCATGGTCTAAATCAGTGGTTCCCAAACTTATTTGGCCTACCGCCCCCTTTCCAGAAAAAATATTACTCAGCCCCTGGAAATTAATTTTTTTAAAATTTTAATAGCAGTTACTCATCGCCCCCAAATGCACCTGTGGCCATCACCGCCCCCCCTGGATCGCTGCAGCGCCCACTTTGGGAATCACTGGTCTAAATTGATTTTCTCTGACAAACTCTGGGGAAAGTTGGTTCAGCTTTGTCCACAACAGGCAGTGCTGAGAACAAACACCCCAAACTCAATCGAAGAATCTGGAAAATGCTACCCATTCTGAATAAACCTTTGCAATTCCAAAATAAATTCCAAAAAAATGTAGTTAGCCCTTCCTTGTTAACAATAGAATGCCATTTAAAAATTATCTCTTTCAAAATATATACTCGATTCTGAAAAAAGAGCAGTCAGATCTTTATTCTATAGTGAAGAAAACTCTTCTAAACTGGGATGTTTATGGGGATTTGCAAAAATCAACAACCGACAGTTGCCTCGTCTTTAGGTGGAGAAGATAAACTATGCTGGAGGTGGTCGAACAGGAATATTTATTTAGGGCTCCCTCATACTCAAGAACCTACATGACCCCCACCATTTCACTTCCCCTCTGTGCATCCTCCAGGACACCTGCTTTTTCCTTCATTTCTTTCCTTCCTACCCTTCTCAAAAAGTTTTCCTGAACTAGAAATACCACAGATTTGAAGGCTTAGAACTCAGAGACCTCATAAAGCACTTTCCTAAAACTTTCTATATTACAGATCAAGAATCTGAAACCCAGAGGTGAAGTATTTGCTCATTCTTAGGCTCCCCCTCAACCCCACGTGACTCTAAAGGTTTAACATACGTCCTTTTTAATTCAAAAATGCAAGTATCTACATTTAAAAGAGCAACTTCGATTTTAGAAATTTTCTATGGAATTTGGAAAAGTTGGTATATTTACTCTTATTTGAAATGTCTGTTAGACTACCTTAAAATTTTTTTTTTTTTAAAGATTGGGGCTTCCTCATTGATTATATCAGAAGATTCTATTTGGGGTTAACCTTTATGTCATATGGGGGAGGGGGTTATGTACATCACATACACACACACACGGGTTATGTACATCACACACACACACACACACACACACACACACACACACACACAGAATAACAGTACACTGTTCTTGTGGCCTTTGTCTACCATGTGGACAACTGATGTCACAAAAAATGACAGCTGTGTTCCTCTATCCCCTCCGAGGCTTAGGGACCGTTCCGGAAGACAGGGGCATGTGAGATTATAAGAGCTGATCATGAGGGGTGGAGTGTTAGGCAAAACGATTTCTGGTGCTTGATGAGACTGATGCCATTTTAAGCAAGTTGCTCATAGTGACCGCCAGGCCCGTATCATCTGAAAGGAATGTTCTTATGTAGACAAATAGGCCCATTAAGCTGTTTACTGCTTTGAAATATACAGGGCTACTGATCTGGTTGGGAACCAAGAAAAACCTCCAGGGAAAGAAAGGAATTAATAAGTAACAATCTCGTTTTCAAATATTCACCAAGCCTGCAGACATTCATAAAAATGAATTGAAAGAAGGACCTAGGAGTTTCCACCCTGTTTTAAACCTTAAGGCTATCAAAATTAAATACCGTAAACACCAAAAGATAAAAATATTTTAAAACAAAAAATATATAGTTTGCACATACTTTTCATGAATCTTCAAGACTCGATGGACTATAGGAATCTCTCTTCCTTCTATTCTAAAAACAACAATTTCTCCCACTCGTATGGGATCTTCCACTCGATTTGTTAGGAAGAGAAGGTCTCCTCTATGAAATGCAGGTTCCATGCTGCCACTGGGAGGGACAGAAGAATACAGCAAAGAGGAAGTCAGAGGTTAAATTTCCTTTAAAAAATTAGATATTCAACAAAATAATCTCAAGTATCACCTTTGAAAGATACCCAATACCTTAACAAATATATTGACGACATAAATGCATATCGTTCTGAAAATATGGTTTCCTCAGACTAAGGAGTTATACTAAAGGTTTCTTTAGTTGTTAGCATTTATTAACTACTTCCATTTCAAGCATTACTATTCAGAGGAGCTTAAATCTTTGAAAAGGGCAATGCTACTGATTCTTTAACCTTTTAAAATTTCAAGTGACAAACAGAATGAGCTTTATAATCACGGCTCTTATCCTCACTTCTTCTGAAAACAATAAACATATTCAAATATTCAAATGAGAACTTCTCCTGCCATTTATAAAGTTACAGACCAAGATGACCTTATGATTTCAAACCACGAAGAAGGAAGAGCTCAAGTCAAAGAACAGTCAGCTCCAGAGATAATGCTTGTGTTATCAATTTTATTTATTTTAAAAAGAAAAACAAGAGAGAAGACCAAGGACAAGAGAAGAGATTTTTGCCTTAGAATTTCAGAAATGAGCAAAGCATTAATTTCCACAGAGGAAAAACTCATCTCTCACCAAGTGCTTCAAAGGTCCTAAGATATGTGCATTCATAAGGAACCTTTTCTTTCTATGAGGAAGAAGGCAATCAGTATTATTTTCAGAAACTCAAGCTCCAGTTTGCAATAATAATAGACTTAGTAAGAAGAAAATGAATAGACAGGGGATAAAAATCAAGAAAGTGTTCTCTGTTTGAAGACTCTGGACTCTCTACATAAGGAGACTGGCTGAGGCTTAGGGAGGCCTGAAGTTACACATCAAGGCAATAAAGGAGAGATCTGAACCAAGGGAGTCCAATGAAATCCACTCTCACTGTGCCGAACTGCCTTCGAGCCGCTCTAGAATTTTAAGCACAAAGTATCACAATAATATTTGCATTTAAGAACCATCACTTCAGAAGCTTTGGATATACAGAAGTCATTCAAATATTTATTGAATTAATAAGTAGAATGGCCCTGACCGGTTTGGCTCAGTGGACAGAGCGTCGGCCTGCGGACTGAAGGGTCCCGGGTTCGATTCCGGTCAAGGGCATGTACCTTGGTTGCGGGCACATCCCCAGTGGGAGGTGTGCAGGAGGCAGCTGATCAATGTTTCTCTCTCATTGATGTTTCTACCTCTCTATCCCTCTCCCTTCCTCTCTGTAAAAAATCAATAAAATATATTTAAAAAAAAA